ACGACATTCCAACCAATAGAATTTCACGCCTGTTTTCCAAGCAAAACAAAATTCTAACGTTAAAACTTTTGACAACATCACCAAATATTAATATATTAATAATAAAATCTAAGAACATATTTAGTTGTGGTATTAACCTTTTTACATTTATTTGTTCGTGTCAAGGTTTATAAATCAAGTGATATCATACAAAAATATGCGCAATTTTTTTATAGCGTTAATAGTTTTTAATTAACCCATATATTTCATGAGGTTTATCTTTTTCTATCGCTATATTACAATTTTTTAATCCGATTCCAATCTATTTTCAAACATTCCATTCGGAAAACTTTCTTTGATTCTACATTCAATACCTACAATTTCAAAGTATATTCTCGCCACCATACATTCATACTTCTTCCAATAGAATGTATCTGAAAAGAGAGTAATTTGGCCAAAATATCTATTTAGTAATATTAATAATTATATTATATAGATATATATATATAATTATAACGATAATATACGTACATATATATAATTAGTAAGAAAAGCTTACCTAAACAATTGACCAATTCCAACACCTTTATTTTTAATCAAATTCATAACATCGTTATCATATATTAAGACATTACTTATTGCATTACAAATTATTTTACCCTAGCATACGATATTTTCAAATCTTTGTAAAATTAGATTACTGTTTTTTCTGTAAATTTCTGATTAAAAGAGGAACACTATTATTTTTTATAATTTGCACTATTACAGTTTTGTTAATATAAATAACAAATAAATACATATATAATTTTGAACTCTTGGAATTTATTACTCAACTAACCTTGACACGTGCCTGTGCCTATATCAATATTTGTGCCTAGCTCGAAAGTGTCTGACACTTCTATGTCCTATGAGCACTCAAATAAATGCCTGGCACTTTTGCCTACAGGCACTTTGTACCCAATTTAAAAGTATCAAACACTTATCTTAGTACTCAAAAACTTATCTGAGTACGCGCTAGACACAAAAGTGCCCATAGATAAAAAGGTATCTGACTTAAAATGCCTAACACATTTGTGTCTAGCACTTTGTAGACAGTTTTTTGTGCCTAATCTAAAAAGTATCTGATATTTTTTTTTGTGCCTATAAGTATAGGTTTGGTGCCTAACACGGGCACTTGCAGAGTCCTACTTAAAATTCATTTGTAAATTACCATTGGTGGTTAAAACAAATTCTCTCTAAGTCGCTAAATTCATCTAATAATGCCATCAAAATCTTCAGTTATTTGGAATTGTTTAGCATATACGTATCATCCACATTTTCATTTTTTTCCTTACTATAAAATTATTAATTTTATATATACGTATAGGTATGCAGCTAGCTCATCTCACTTGAACACGTATTCTTTATTAATTACTAATTTAGGCTAGTAATAATAAAGATACGTAAAACAATAATAAAATAAATAATAACTCATATGAATTACAATATTTTACGATTCTTTCAATTTCTTTTAAATTAAGTACTTGAAAAAATTATGACTAAGTGCGAGCCAGGGAAACAAAAAAAAAAAAAAAATACAATTCAAAAACATCGTTCTTGATTCAAATTATTTTAATGTATTAAGAAAGACACTTGAAACAATAGGCTGCATGGCCGGGAAATGAATAGGTATTTTTTTACCCTAGTGCGAACGTGCACAACCATTATTATTATGTTTCGGAAGAATTTTTATTAACGTTAATTACAGAATTAAAACTGTTTTCATTTACACACACGTGATGGTCACACGACTACATTGGTCGATGATAAAATTTATTTCTTTGGTGGTTTACGACGTCATCTCCTCAATAGAATAAACTCTAATAAACTCATCAATTTATTAGATGAAGTGTTCTATTTATTGATTTAAATCAAATAATTGAAATATATAAACAAATATTCATTGTCAGCAAATCATTATGCACGTTTATTGAAAAATGATTTAACTGCTATTTCTATGTACCCGAAAAAATTTTAAATTCTAGGTACAAAAAAAAAAAAAAATAATAATAAAATAATAATGATGATAATAACAAAAAATAAAATAAAATAAAATAAAAAGGTTATTTACATGTTTAAAGTTATTATGTTAAAAGACAATTTTGCAAAAATAAGTAACAGAATAAAGTGAAATAAAATATTTTTCTGTATTGCACATTAAGCAGTATTGAGTAAAGAAACCAAAATGACTCTCTGCTCACTTTCTTCATATGGTGAATATTCAATTTGTGCCATTGTAGGACCACTACGCATTACTCGCGGAGGTGAAATACTTTTTAATTTATTAGCAAGTAGTTGTGAGCCTGCATGATAATCTTCTGTAGTGATTCCGTTTTTATCTGAATTATTTATTTCTTGAATTTCTGAAGTAATTTGTTTTGTATCGTCCGGAATTACAATAGGGTTGGAATTAATTGACGGAGGTCGGTTAAAAACATTATTATGTTGCGGCTTCTTATTTGATTGCGGTGCCTCTTGTTCAGATGGTCGTTTTCTTGGTGGAATTGATGAGTTACTGGATGTACCTTGGACTCCGGTTCTTGGCTGCATTGGAAGCTTCAAGTCAATAGGTGGTCTAATCACATTTTGAGGTTGAGGTTGTTGTGGAGGAACGGGTGGGTTCGGAAGTAACCCTGAAGTATCTTCAATACCTCTTCTACGACTGTCCACGAAAACAAAATATTTTCGGAATTGTTGTAATAAATTTTCAACAAGGTCCAATTTAAGTAAAAATCTTCTTGAAGTTTTTAATGCATTTAATTGATCCTTTATCATGTATTTCATATGTAACAAACGAGATGTCCCTTGACTTGATCTTGTATAATGCCAAAAGTAGGGTAATACCTCATCAACCTTTTCGTACATCGGAGTCAATTCTGTTAACTTTATCATTATTTGTCTTTTATCATCTTCTGATAGGTCAATTTCGTGATATTGAATACTTTTTTCTCTAGTTTTACTATCTATTTGACTTATCATAGCTAATGCTTCTTTCTCATCCTTCTCGGATAAAGTTGCTAGTTGCCCAGATTGTGCTGTAGAATTGTTTATAGGAAGCATCGGACGCATAATTGGATGTTTAGGTCTAACTGCGTTCATTGGAGGCCTTGCATTTGCAAACATGGCATTTTGAGCTGCCAAAATCGCTGCTGCATTTGCTCCACTAGAAGCTTGATTAGCGGGATTATTGTTATTGGTTAACATAATCGTATTAGCATTAGCAGTAATTACATTTGGGCGTCCATTAGTTGTAATAGCTCCTTGAAAACCTGGCATTAATCCAAGATTTTGAATTGTATTAATGTCGACACCTGATGAAACTTTCATTCCAGGGTTAGGTGCAACGTTAGCAGCCGGACTTGCAATCTTGTTTTGAGGTAGTTTGAGTTGTCCTAAACTTGCTGCCATTTTATTAGAAACGGCATTAGGTGATAAATTAGGTGTTGTTTTATTTGGAATCGGTACTGGAGATGCATTTACGATCGCAGGAGATTGATTAGGTGTATTTCCATGAGAATTAGCTATAGGAGGTCCCGAATTTGACATCATAAACATAGTTCCAGGACTCTGAGACGGTGCTTGTCCTTTCATCTGATTAACAGGAGATTGAATCGTACCATTATTGGACAATTTTATTGAATTACCAGCGACAGCTTGTTGGTTAACTTTCATATTATCTTGTTGCTGTTGAGCAGCTTGTTGCATTCTCATATAAACACCAAGTTTATTCATTACTTCCGGTGATAACTGCGTGTCAGGAGAAAATCCCAAGTTAATCATAAGTTGTTGCTGTTGTAAAAGATTCGGACGATGAGCTCCCCCTGGTTGGGTGGATTTTGGTGAAGATGGAATCTGAGCTACTGGTCGAATAAAATTGTTCGCTTGTACTGATGCAATTTGTTGAGGTGTTGCTTGCAACTGTTGTTGCTGTTGCTGAGATCTCTGTATCTGTTGCATCCTTTGAATTTGATTTTGTTGTTGTAAAGCGGGATTTTGTTGTAATAATTGTTGATACATGTGTTGCTGTTGTCGTTGTTGCCTCACCGCCGTTTGTGCATTAAGCTGTTGTTGTTGTTGTTGTTGCAATAACTGTTGTTGCAATAATTGTTGTTGAACAGCCGCTGCGACCTGACGTTGTTGCAATATAATTCTTTGGGCTGTTTGCTGCTGTTGCGGTGAAGGAACCTGCTGTTGTTGTTGTTGTTGTTGCTGTTGTTGTTGGAGAGTCTGTGCTATTATCTGTTGCTGCAATTGCTGTGGTTGTGAATTTTGTAATTGTTGAGGTAACAAAGTTTGTGCTTGTTGCGCTTGTTGTTGAGTGACTTGAGATTGTTGCGATGGCGCAGTGCTCCTTTGTGCCTGTTGTTGCCGTAATTGAGCGGTTCGTTGTATTTCATTAGTTAAATCCCGTAACTTTGCTCCAATCAGTTGGTTGTATTCGTCCTTAGAATTTGCATTATTGTAAGATTCATTTTCCCACTGTTTCGATGCGTGGAATCTTTGTTGGGCATAAACATTTGGTCGATTAAGGAGCTCTAAGCCTTTATAAAGCCTACCAACATTATGCTTTCTTTCGTCTTCGCTGAGAAGAAGCCGCCAGTCAGTTGTTGCATTATTCTGAAAATACGTCATTTTTTATTAAAACATTCAACTTTGATAAATTGTTTTGTCTATAAATTTTTTTTTTAATAACAGTTGTAACAAGAAAAAAACGAGCACTTTATATAGGCACTAACAATGTTAGTAATAGGCGGAAAAAAATTAAGGGTCCGCAATTTGTCTAATTTACTTATGTTTATACGCCAATGAGTCACACATTTACGCATACATATAACTTTTTTAGTGACAAATTGGATGTTTCTAACCCATTAAGGCACATAATTGTTAAATAATTGGCCAATGATCACCTGAAACAAGCTCTATCTAAGTGAAGTATGCTTAAAGTTTACAGATTTCTGTCTGTTAACAAATGGTTCGTAGTTAAATTTTAAAAAAGCGAACATAAAAGTTTAGTAAAATTACAATATATTAAAGTTTATAATTGTTATTGTATTATCATATTTTTATTGTCGTTGTTATTTCTGGTTATCATTAAAAAATAACTTTTATTTTCTATAACTATATTTGGGGTCTTTCTATCTATTTGAGGTCCTTGCTAGGAAAATGATCTCCGTGACTGAGGATAAGCCCTGCGCAGAAATTTAGAGTCTGCGCAAAAATTTGGGAGTCTGCGTAATTTTATAATTCGGGCCGGCTTGTATAATTCTGTTTTACAGTGTTGAAAATCTAACGTTATTAGAACATTAAAATATATATTAGATATATATATATATTTTTTTTTTAAAAAAAAAATTTTTAATTTTTAATATAGTTATAGGTATTTTGAGAATATAAAAATTATCATTTCAATCATTCCTCTTAGGTAAGGGAAATCGTGAACCGTAAAACATGAATTCAAAAGAATTCGTCCAATATACCATAAGTTAATTCATATGATGTTGCTGTAAATTGATTTTACGCTTACAGCTACGTTTCGCAGTCTACTACTACGTTAGTTTACCCCAGTGGATCTTATAAATCCATATAGACAAATATTCAATTATAAGGGTTAGAAAACCCGTGGGACTCACCGATAATATGGTAATATCCATGCCCTGTACAAACTCGCTGCCTTAGTCTTATCAACTTAAGTTTATACGAACGAGGATTGACCATAGTCTAAGGAACCGGGAGAAGCGGAAGGAGACACTCAGTCGTAGACGTTGGGGTCGAAAAGGGCATAATTGTGCTATGGTTGTGCGTCAACAACTGCTTGGACATAATTAAAAGTTAAATAAAGCGTGACATTATTAGTGGGTAACGAACATATTAGATTATTTACCAATTGTTATACGGTTAATCAATTGGTGCCTGAGTCCCTTAATGTATAATACATATAAGTGTAAACGACAATATAAGGATTAATTAATTTAAAACATGAAAAGGAACTGATTTCCAAATATCTAATAATCACACGAAGCGAAATTAACGGCAACTCATTGCCCGTCGGGGTGGACTACTTTAGTGGATTATACAGGCTTTTCTGGTGCTTGTTAATTGGGAAGATATCGAAAAGACCTATATGTAAGTTCTAAACCACATGAACACACCGGAATGTTTAAGAGATGTACGTTAATGGAACGGTATGAATAAACAAATATGGGTAACTGATCCTATGATTAAAAATGTATATGTAGTCGTTGTAAGTGATTACATTATCAGACAGGTATCGCCTTCAGGCGGGGTTCATAAACCCGAAAAGAAAATCATCAGGTATAGATTATGAGAATCCATAAGTAACCAAAGTAGAACAAAACAATTTACGGTGCAGACTTCTACACTGAGCTGAGCAGTTGACTTAAGTCATACCATTTTTCCAATATGGAGTGTTCCGTATTAAAAAGGCCCATTTTTACATTTGTCTCATTTTGAGATAATTGATTTTCGGATTAATTTAATTTCACGATTTTGATTGGTAACAGGTGACTATCAGGTAATCTCGTGATGTGTTGGTCTTTGGAAGATTCGTGAAATATTTCTTTTATATTATCTTATGCAAATCGACTTTCATTTATAATTGAAAAATGTTAATCATGTCAAAATTTTTATAAATTTAATAAAAAATCATTTTTCAAAAATTGTAAAAAAGGCTTTTTTTTTTTTTTTTTTTTTTTTTTTTTTTTTTTTTTTTTTTTTTTTTTTTTTTTTTTTTTTTTTTTTTTTT